TATTTCTAAGGGATAGCAAGATGGCACCAGAAGGCACAATAGTGCCTGTCATACCACAATGTTGAGGGAAAAAAAATTAAGATGGCTGAAATTTCCTGAAGACAACCAAATATTGCAAGATTTTCATGTATACCATGAGATTTTAGTCATTTATATTTTCAATTTTTCACTTTAATCTTTTAAAACAAAATTGCTAGTAGGATGCTGACCCTTGAAAAAGTTGTTGGCTTCTGGAGCAATTCTATATAATCTGTTGTGTAAGAACAGAATAATGATGCAGGAGGGACTAATAATAGGAGGACTATGCTGATCTATCCAATCAGCACCCTGTTTGGATGAGGAACAACTGGTTTGGAAAATATGTATGTGCTTGGCCTGCTTGCATGACTGCTCATCCACGCACGTTACCCTTCTGTTGAACTTACCCTTCTGGGATAGTGAGGAGTTTTCATCATCTGCAAAGATATAATTTTATCTCTTATAAGAACTATGGCAATACAATCCCTCACATTTGATTTCAAAAAGATGTTTTGGAGTGCACAAGAGCATGAACAAAGAACCTGTTTGCAACTCCTTAAAGCACCTAAAGAGTGTTTTTCAAATTTGGCAACTTTAAGATGTGTGGGTTTCAACTCCCAGAATTCCCCAGCCAGCAGGTTGAAAAACACTGACCTAAAGCACTGCGTTATTTGCAGGACCACCTTCTCCCAAGAACATCTGCCCACCCAACAAACTCCCATAGGGAGGACATGCTCCAGGTTCCCTTTTTTAAACTTTGCTATCTCATGGGACCTAAGAAGTGTGCTTTTTTGGTAGCTGTCCCTGTGCTCTGGAATAATCTCCCACCCAATATATGACAGGCCCCAACTCTGCTTCCCTTTAGAAAAGCTGTTCATACCTGGCTTTTTCCCAGGCACTTAGGTCCAATTGAGTGGAGTCCCCTTTTAATTGTTTAATTATCATGTTCAGTCACTGTTTTATATTTTTTATATATTGGGTATTTTTTTTTAATATTGTATGGTTATTTCTGGTTTATTGTTTGTTTTTGCTGTATACAGTGGTACCTCGGGTCACGAACGCTTCTGTTCACGAACAATTCGGGTCACGAACAGCACCGTTCGCAAAATTTTGCTTCTG